AGTGTGCTCATGGTTTCAAATATATAGTTAAAACTGTGTAACGTTGGGGTCTTTGCTTGTTATTAATCCAATCGTTGAACTGAACTAGCATAATGTTCCATATAAAACAAAAAAAGATAAGAAAACAGCATACAAATACATTTACAGTAAAATGATACATAGAAAGAGTTCTGAAAATTATGCATTATGCAGATCAGACTTTTACCTCATTCTGCTGGAATATCCGTAACAACTTTTCTTGGTGTTACGTTTATTCATGTTATCTTCATGTAGACAAATAGTTGGTAAGGCAAGGTGTCCTTTGCATTTGACCCATTCATCAACGCCACTAGAACAATCTGTCAGGAGCAGGGCAACAGGGGCCACCGTACAGAAAAAACACAACTAAAAAGCAATAATGACAGGTAAGGTGGTGCATGGTAAGGTGGTGCAAGGTAAGGTGGTGCATGGTAAGGTGGTGCAAGGTAAGGTGGTGCATGGTAAGGTGGTGCAAGGTAAGGTGGTGCATGGTAAGGTGGTGCATGGTAAGGTGGTGCATGGTAAGGTGGTGCAAGGTAAGGTATTTCTTGTATTGTATTTTTTGTATTTTTATTATTTATTTCATTCATTCAAAAGTGACATCATGCAATCACCACAAGACCGCCAATCCAACATAGCATGAATGAAACGGAGCAGAGGAGAAGAATAAGTCTTATAATATCTGCCCCTTTTGTTGCTTCACACTTTACATGCTGTCTTTTAAAAAATGTGCATATATAAATATATATATATATCTATATACATACATATGGTTACAATCATATACATATTTACAGTATTTTCTGATGTTTTTGTATTCTATATTTAATTATTTACAATATATACAATAAAATACCGAACTGTCATATTCCTAAAATGTTTACAAATGGTCAAAAAAGAAACAAACCATATTCATGTTTGTTTGTTCAAATCAAATATCTCACACTATTCCTGTCCAAGTCTAATTTTCATACTTCTTTAACATTGCAGCTTTTATGTGTTTTTTGAACTCCAAGAGAGTTCCTGACTCTTTCACTTCTTTTTGAAGTTTATTCCATAGACTAATTCCTGTCACTGTAACAGTTTGTTCCATTGCTTTCGAATTGAACCTGGGTTTTTTAAAGATGTCTGTGCCTTTCAGATTATATTGGCTTTCTCTTTTCTCATACCTTATTTGGATGTTCACTGGCAATATTTTTTGATTTGCTTTATACAAAACCTGCAGGATATTGTAGTCAACTATATCCTCAAATTTTAGTAGCTTACATTTAATAAATAGTGGATTTGATGGATCTCTATATCTAATATTATGTATTGTTTTCAAAGCCCGTTTTTGTAGAATGAACAGTGGCTGTATATAGGTTTTATAGGTTGAACCCCAAATTTCCACACAGTTAAATATGGCATAATCATTGTGCTGTATAAAGCAAGTAACGCGGATTGATTTAGGGAGAATTTAACTTAATGTAACACCGCAATAGATTTGGCTATTTTTCCTCTTTTGTAATTTATATGTGACTTCCATTTGAGGTCCTCATCAATGATGACGCCTAAAAATGTAGTTTCTTGAACCCTTTGAATTTCCGTACCGTCTATTTTTATTGGTATATTCAGTATTTTTCGTTTGTCATTGAATATTATAAATTTAGTTTTTTTAACATTGAGAGCCACTTTATTTAGGTCAAACCAATGTTTTATTTTTTGGAGTTCTTCGTTTACTACTTCTGTTATCTCCTGTATGTCTTTCCCGGAGTAAAATAATGTTGTATCATCGGCAAATAAAATACTTTGCAGTTTATCTGATGCTTTTACAAAGTCATTCATGTATAATATGAACAATAATGGCCCAAGTATCGAGCCTTGGGGAACCCCCCAGTTGATGTCACGTAAGTTTGATGCTGTGTCATTTATTTGAACATATTGCTTTCTATTTTCTAAATAGCTTGAGATCCATTTCTGAGCGATACCTCTAATTCCATATTTTTCTAGTTTCCAAAGTAGTCTTGAGTGATTAATTACATCAAATGCCTTTTGTAGGTCAATGAAAATACCTACACAATAGTTTTTATTATTTATTTCTCTTGCTATTTTTTCAGTTAACTCCATTATAGCCATTGCTGTAGAGTGATTTTTCCTGAATCCATACTGACTATTGATCATAATATCCTCTTTTTGTATGAATTTGTGCAATCTTGCTGCAAACACTTTTTCTAAATTTTTTTAATATTGTGGCAATAAAGACACTGGTCTGTAATTTGAAAAATCATGCTTGTCTCCATTTTTGTAAATAGGTACAATTTTAGCTTTTTTCATTTTCTCAGGAAAATTTCCTGTTGTTAATGACAGATTACAGATATAAGTGAATGGTTCAATAATAGGTTCAATTATGTTTTTTATGATCATCATATCTAAACCTTCACAGTCAGTTGATCTCTTGTTTCCAGAATTTTTCACAATTTCTCTTATTTCATCTATTTCCACATTGTCAATGAATATACTGTTTACATGGTCTGTGATTGTATTTTCCGTTTTATGTGTTATTTGGGGTATTTTTTCTGCAATTGTAGATCCTACATTTGCAAAATATTTACAGAACTCATTTGAAATTTTATTCACCTCAGATATTTCAATATTTTCTTTAACAAAATAATTTGGGTATGCGCTTTTGGTGTTATTTCCTTTAACAACAGAGTTAATTATTCCCCATGTAGCTTTAATATTATTTTTGTTCTCCTTTAGTTTTTCACTATAATATTCCTTTTTCCTTTTCCTGATGATCCACAGTAATTTATTTTTATACTTCTTGTATCGATTTTCTACTTCTTTTGTTCGAGCTTTTAGAAAACATCGGTAGAGATGGTCCTTCTTTTTACAAGCATTTTTAATCCCTTTTGTGATCCATGGTTTATCTTTCTTTTTATTGTTGTAATATATGATTTTACAGTTTTTGTTATACAACTTTTTAACTATTTCTATGAAAGAATTATATGCTTCGTTGACATCATTTACATAAACTGCATCCCACTTCTGTTTTTTAAGATCTTCATTTAGTGCCTCTAGGGCTTTTGATGATCGGTTTCTATTTGCCTTCTTCGTAATATTTTGCTTTATTTTCTGATTGTGTCGAAATACTAAAGAAATGGGTAGATGATCACTAATGTCTGTCATCAATATCCCGCTCATAACAATTTCTTCATTCATATTTGTAAATATATTGTCTATCACAGTAGCACTTTGACATGTTATTCTGGTTGGTTTTGTTATTAAGTGGAATAAGCCCATGCTGTTCATTGAATTTAAGAATTCAGTTGTTATCTGTTCATTTACAGTTTCTAAATTGACATTAAAATCTCCACATATTATTTGCTTCTTATCATTTGCCCTCTCATATAGTTCGGTTATTCTTTCCATGAATAATTCCACACCCGACTCCGGTGGTTTATAGACACAGCTTACCAATATATTTTTTGTTGTAGCTATTATTTCCACAGTGATTATTTCTATTACGTTATTTTCTATCACAGTCATCTCATTAACCATCTTACATTTCAGATCTGAATTTATGTATAGCGCTACTCCACCTCCTCGCTTGTTTTTTCTGTTTAATGAATAGAGATCATATCCTTCCATCTGAACCTCACTCAACAAGTCATCTTTTAGCCATGTTTCTGTAATAGCGATGATACTGAATTTCTTTTTGAACTCACTTAGATAGTCTTTTATTTTTGGAAATTTACTGAACATGCTTCGACTATTTAAATGGATAATGGACAGAGCATCTTCTACGTTTTCCTCATTGAATGTTTCTTCATCATAATAGTCACAGTTATTTGCTACATTAAATGTATTTCCATCTACTCCTGCATCAATGTCATATATTTTGTCTTCCTGTTCCATGTTTTCTTTTCGAGATCGTTCTCTTTAATTTAAATTTCCTGATAATGTGATATCTTTGTATATGAACAAACAACATTATTTTATCAATCGAATGGTCTATATCCTGTGTGAACGTCTGCATTATGATTCGAGCGCAAGTTGCGTTTACCTGGGCGGTGCTGATCTTATAGATATGTGTCCAAATCATCCATGCTACGAACTACTTGCACTTTAGCATCGGTTCCCCCATTGAGTTTGATGAAGACTTTGCAGTTCGCAGTCCACGTTGACTGGATTTTCCCTTGCTTCCTCAAATCGCGTGCCTTTTTTGCTACTCCAGCATTTATCATCGTCAAATGTTCATTTATGTAAACATTGGTTCCCTTTAACCTTCTCCCTTGTTTGAGGAGAGCTTGTTTTTTCTTCCTGTTTACGAAGCGTATTATGACAGCTGCTTTGTCCCCGATGTTCCTCCGTTTAAGAGGGTGACAGGCTTCAATATCAGTGCTACTGAAAAAGCGATGACTTGATTCTCCACCGACTCCGTCTCAGCCTCGGTCAGTTCTCCCCCGTTCGCTGCGGCGTCCGGTGTCACTGCCCTGGCGTAAGAACGGGGTCGTATCTCCATCCCGCTTACGATGACATCCTTTATACGGGAGTACTGCTCGAGGTCGTCCAGGCGACTCTCCAGCGAGGTAATCCTCCGATCTTTCTCCATGTTCTGTCTTTTTAACTCTTTTACTTCAGCCATTAGTTCCACAATGATCTTCTGTTGAGTTGATATTGTGGCAACTTCAGTTGTAAGCCAGTCCAGTGATTTTTGTATTTCTCTCACCTCTTCAGCTAAAGGACCCCCTTTGGGTGGTGGCATTTTCAATGGTTTCAATGAGCTGTCGGCTGTAGTAGCCAAGGCGTGCAGCTGCACTCTCCTTCGCCACGTTAGCCGCGGCTAGCTCTTCCCAGGACCAACTCCAGGCGGACAATCCGCTAATCGGTCCTTTGCAGTCACTTACTGGGTGAAGTCCAAAGCCCGTTATAGCTATAGAATCCACAGTGCAAAGTAAGAAGTTGTTTTGATTTCTTTTTCTTCAGTTTTCACGATAGACATGGGCATTGAGTCCGCACGGTTCTCACACCCGGAAGTGCTGAGCCTGTCTGTCTGTCTGATTGGTAAGGTGGTGCAAGGTAAGGTGGTGCATGGTAAGGTGGTGCAAGGTAAGGTGGTGCAAGGTAAGGTGGTGCATGGTAAAGTGGTGCATGATAAGGTGGTGCATGGTAAAGTGGTGCAAGGTAAGGTGGTGCATGGTAAGGTGGTGCATGGTAAGGTGGTGCATGGTAAGGTGGTGCAAGGTAAGGTGGTGCAAGGTAAGGAGGTGCAAGGTAAGGTGGTGCATGGTAAGGTGGTGCATGGTAAAGTGGTGCAAGGTAAGGTGGTGCATGGTAAGGTGGTGCAAGGTAAGGTGGTGCATGGTAAGGTGGTGCAAGGTAAGGTGGTGCATGGTAAGGTGGTGCAATGTAATGTGGTGCAATGTAAGGTGGTGCATGGTAAGGTGGTGCAAGGTAAGGTGGTGCAAGGTAAGGTGGTGCAAGGTAAGATGGTGGATGGTAAGGTGGTGCAAGGTAAGGTGGTGCATGGTAAGGTGGTGCATGGTAAGGTGGTGCAAGGTAAGGTGGTGCAATGTAAGGTGGTGCAAGGTAAGGTGGTGCAATGTAAGGTGGTGCAAGGTAAGGTGGTGCAAGGTAAGGTGGTGCATGGTAAGGTGGTGCAAGGTAAGGTGGTGCATGGTAAGGTGGTGCATGGTAAGGTGGTGCATGGTAAGGTGGTGCAAGGTAAGGTGGTGCATGGTAAGGTGGTGCATGGTAAGGTGGTGCATGGTAAGGTGGTGCATGGTAAGGTGGTGCATGGTAAGGTGGTGCATGGTAAGGTGGTGCAAGGTACGGTGGTGCAAGGTAAGGTGGTGCAAGGTAAGGTGGTGCAAGGTAAGGTGGTGCATGGTAAGGTGGTGCATGGTAAGGTGGTGCAAGGTAAGGTGGTGCAAGGTAAGGTGGTGCAAGGTAAGGTGGTGCAAGGTAAGTTGGTGCATGGTAAGGTGGTGCAAGGTAAGGTGGTTCATGGTAAGGTGGTGCATGGTAAGATGGTTCATGGTAAGGTGGTGCAAGGTAAGTTGGTGCGCATGGTAAAGTGGTGCATGGTAAGGTGGTGCAATGTAATGTGGTGCAATGTAAGGTGGTGCATGGTAAGGTGGTGCATGGTAAGGTGGTGCATGGTAAGGTGGTGCATGGTAAGGTGGTGCATGGTAAGGTGGTGCAAGGTAAGGTGGTGCAAGGTAAGGTGGTGCAAGGTAAGGTGGTGCAAGGTAAGGTGGTGCATGGTAAGGTGGTGCATGGTAAGGTGGTGCAAGGTAAGGTGGTGCAAGGTAAGGTGGTGCAAGGTAAGGTGGTGCATGGTAAGGTGGTGCAAGGTAAGGTGGATCTGTTAGCTGGTTTCATTTCACTTTGTTGACACCGTCTAAAATGGAGACATAGTGTGTGCTCTCTGTTTGGCTGCTATTTGTTCATGAAGACATACTGGGAACGATCGTCTGAAATAAAAAAAAAAAAAAACTGAGCGTGAGGTTGCTCCAGTCAGGCCCGTGAGAAGAATGTGTCAAGTACTTAGGTCATTTTTTGACTTTTACGTGGTTCAACAATATTTAGCGAACATTTTTATTCATGTTTTTTTTAGTAGATTTAAATATAACACATGAAGAAGAGCTTAAATACAAAACATGCTGTAACTCCACATTGCCTGTTCTTTTGTGCCGTGAATAGTAAGGTCATCAATTGAGAAAGTTAATTGCGTGTGTCTAATATGTGAGGCTGCGTGTTTCATGTCTCCTTGAGTCGGTGACACTTAAAGACAAAGCAAGAAGCACGACTGTCATGATACAAAAGACTGTTTAAGAAAGTTTTTGGCCGCAAATAGAAGACTTAAAAACTAGTAAATAACACTATAGGGGGCTAAGCAATGTAATGCATCACTGAGCTGAAACATCTAATTACAAGACCTGTGCAGTGTATTGAATTTGTCAAGTCACTGGAAAATGCTGTTTCCGATGGTGAGAGAAGGGTTTTAACCGAGTACTAGCTAAACCCAATTTGTGTGTACTTTTACCCCAGATGATATTCAAGATCGAAAATAAATAAATAAAATGTGGCATGTGTGCCATTTTTTTTTTTTAACGCATACCTTATTTATACCATATTTGTCCTTTATTGGTCACATTAAAAAACATCAGATTTTTACTTTTAATTGTACTTTAGACAACTTTTTACTTCTGTTCCTCACTATTAGAGCCACATTTGGGCGGCACGGTGGCTGAGTGGATAGCACTCTCGCCTCTCAGCAAGAAGGTCCTGGGTTCAAATCCCGGTTGGACCAGGGCCTTTCTGAGTGGAGTTTGCATGTTCTCCCCGTGTCTGCGTAGGTTTCCTCCGGGTGCTCCGGTTTCCCCTACCACTAAAAATATGTACAATAGGTATGGCATGTGCCTCCTGTACTGGCACCCCCACTCCCAAAAAAATAACAATTGTAAACCGCTTTGAGACTCCGATGTGCAGTGAAAAGGCGGTATATAAATAAAAAAAAGCTTACATTTCTGTAGTTGTTGCTTCTAACTCAACCAGATGGCCCTCATCGTTGGTCTGGCAAAGATGAGGGCCATTCTTTGCCGCTTGCGGGTGTAATTTGGATTGAATTGATTATTTTCTAAAGCTGCCATGATTATCTGTTAATCCAGCTCTGTATCTAATGAAAGCAGACATGCAAAAGAATTTAAAATATGGATTTGTTTGTTTATTTATTGATGTTTTAGAGTAATTGATAGCCCTGGTAGCTGTGGTCAGTCCGTCAGGTCATTATGTGCATTAGATCTTAGGTCACATGTTTTCAAAGAGTGTATACATTTTACAATAAGAAAAAAAGTTCAGTGCTAAATCATGCCTAGCCGAAAGGGGTTGAGGCTGAAGTCAGAACTTACACTGCCCCCTCTTACAACTAATACTTTCAATCACAAATGCAGTTAATACAGAAGTAAACTGAAAAGGCATTGCTGCTGTTCCAATACATCCTGAACTATTGAAGAATGGAAACTAAAAGTGAAAACTACTACAGACTTTGTGTGTTTACCGCAAATCTGAGGAATTACCCACAATAAGAACCCTCCGCTTCATTAGACAGGCCTGATTACTTCTTCATTTCAGCCCGTTTGTAACTATTGCATCAATGACCCACATGTTATTTTCTCATTTCTGTAAACCAAGTGTACATACCTTATCCACGCCAATCTGCTCCGCTCTCAAACTATGGAACTATCTTCCTAATCCTGGCGGGAACGCTCATTACCGATCGCAGCACTATCCGAACATCCTCCCGGCCGTCAAAAAACACTCTCTAATCATCGCTTCCTCCGCTCACCTTCTGTCAAACCCTCCTCACAGGCATCAGAGGTGAAGCAAGGCTGTTTGGATGCAGGAAAGACAGGAAAACACCAAATGCTTAACCTTCACAATTATGGAAGGGTTGGGTGTAGAGAAAAACTTGCGCACCACACGATTGACAGCGCATCCGGGACCAATTTACATCATGGCAAGTCCAAGATGGAGTCTGGGAGGTGTTAGATTGTGAGGTGGCTTGTTCCTAGAGATTTGCAAATTATGTGCACACATTTGAATACGATCATGGAGTTAATTTTTAGATCTAGCTAACTAAACCAAAGGAATAATTTAACGTTTTTGAAAAAGCAAATCGGCCAACAATCAGGGAGGTCTTGGCTAAACTTGCTCTTATGACTTTGGAGTGTCTCTTATAGACTTTGCGAAGAGAGGTATTGTTCTTTCATTATGCCTATTGTAATGGTGTGAGATTGTGTGAGTCGTGAAAGAAGCTGGAGAAAAGAGAAAAATGCATAAAAGAAAGTTTGAAAGTTTGCCACATGAAGCCGTGTCGTGTGCATAATGAGCTGTGCATATGGAAATGTTCATATCAGTCGCTCACCTTACACTTTGCCGTGCCCTTTAGCAGCACATTTTTACACAATTTACATATAAACAGTAATGCACACGGTTTTTTGTATTGTTTGAAATCACGTATTCAAAACATTGACAGCACAACAGTTATATAAAGCACTCACACTGCTGTAAAAAGGTATCATTGCAATGTCCATGCACTGTTTCTATTGAGTACAAATAATCCACGGCCCCCTGTTGATTCTAATCATGGATGTCCAGCTGGCAGAGCAAAGTGTACGCCAAGATTATAAGAAAAGAGAAAAATTGATAAGAGAAAAACACAGGTTCCAGTATTTCTCTATTATGTATGATAGATAGATACAGTAGATGGATAGATAGATAGACATAAAGATAGATAGATTTCTAACTAACTAACAAACAATAGTGTACATGTTCAACTCAGACATCCCTGCTCAGTTTTCCTGTACTTTACTGAATATTTATTAATTAAAATTGACATAGAAAATAGCCATACCCTCTAATCCTTACACGTTTTTGTTTTTTTCATGGATCTATTATACTAACTGAATAGGGTATTACTAGCTTGTAGCTGAAGAACCCATGTGCTCGGGGGATTCTCGCGGTACTGCAGACTAAAGCAGACTAAATTCCCGTGGGCTACACAGACATTTTCCCCATAGAACTCAATGTAAACTAAAACAGCTCGACCTCAGCTGACAGAGAACCTGACAGAGAACCTACAGCTTTGATAAAGGTTGGATTTTGTGGGGATTTTAGTGTCCTTTGTCATCCTGAACTTTTTTTCTTCTTAAATTCTTCGGTTTTCTTTTCTTCCACACTTTAGTTCCACAAACTCTGCCCGTCCGGCTCCCGCTCTAACTCTGCTCTGATCAGCAGCTCTGATTGGTCAAAGCGCGGCCGAGCCCCTCTGTGCACATGCACGAAACCCACACACGCATATTTCGCGCAAAGCATCATGGGAGTTCTTTCACTGCACAGAACTGGGAGGACCAGACGATGCCCAAACACAGGCGAGTTTCCCATAGGTCTTTGAGAGTTCCGGGCGAGTTCCACTAATCTTTCAGCCCCCGTGCCGGCACAATGCGCCACTGAGCACAAATCATTGATTTGAATATGGCGCCATCTTGGGTCGCCAGGGCTTGGTTTTTTTTACGTGGGCTTGTCACGTCAAAATCAACCCTGCCAATGGTCAATTTATCCAATGTCATATGAACTTTGAGGTGGTGAGCCATGCCTTAGCCATGCATCTAAGTTCATTATACCCCTTGTAGTTAGCCTTGCTTCTAAGTTCATTAAGATTCAGATGGATGTATTCAACTTTTACATGTACTGTTGTTTTGTTGCTGTAAGGTGTGTCTCAAGCAATGCTAAAAGTCTAAAATACGTGCACACTTGTCTGTCTGTTATTGAGCAAGATTGCATTTTAAACCTGAACTTTTATAGGGAATTACTAGAATACTGAATTATCAATGAAGCAGATAAATACAGTAATATATCCATAAAGAAAGACTGTTGGAAACTACACCATGCGTTACATATCAAATTTTTCAGCAGACTTTTGATTGCAATGTCTGCTTTAAAAGGGACACTACAGCTAAAAAATAACACATCTCCATCAAAATTAACAAGTGACTCTTCCTTTCATTTGAAGTCGTTGCATGAAACCTTATTCTCATTGCAACGGCCAACGATCAATTAAAATACGTATCCGTTGTCTCTCTGGTGGACAATGGATACGGCAGCTTTCTTGTGCCCCATTCTTGATTCGGTTGATTTTACATTCAGCCTACTTTCCCCGGGCTCTCTTGTGGGACCCAACCCAGAAATGTCATCCAGGCAAAACAGAAACAAAAAAAGAAAAAAAACATTGGGCCTGTTTCATGCAAATAAGATAAGATGTTGCAAGATTATAAGAAATTTCAATGTCATCGTTGCGCACATTACAGCAAAATAAAAGGTCTCTAAATGAACACTCTGTCTTGGAAAATAGACCCAACAAACGGGATCTATTATTTAAGATAATAGATAATGAAATAAAATAAAATAATAAGATATTAAAATAAGATTATAAATAAAATTTATTGATTTAATTTATAGAGCCCAACACTTAAGGTGACCAAAGTGCTTCACAATAAAATTACATAAAATACATTTAAAACATTTATACATTAAAAACAATGAAACAGATTAAAAAAAACATTTAAAAATAA